TCTTGGATGGAATCGTTTTGCCTGTGTCGGTAGTTAAAAGGATTTCTGTCAAAACAAAAACAAAAAACCACTTGGGGGACGTAGTGTGGCTTATCATAATTTGAAACACAGAGGCTGAACTTTGATCCACAATAGGGACGGTAGTAATAATGGGACCATGACGTCACCAACGGGTATTGAGGCTACAATATCACAGTAGACGTACACATTACTCATGTCGGTATCGATGTCTACTGCACACTCTCCTACTAGTGGTGCTTCAGTGTTGGTTAAACACATGCCCGGCAGTCCTAATATACAACATAAGAGATCGCTGACTCTAACCTTAGCTCCCTTTTTGTGAAGTTGGAAGACGGCCATGTTTGTACACTTGTTGTATTGGATTCTCATTATCGTATCCGCACCATTCTCAGTTTCTATAATTAACAGGTTCAGCTGATCGATAAAAACCTCACCTGCTTTGTAAACACCAGATGGTAATTTAATTTTCAGGACTTCTTTGCGACTGTCTTTGAGTGGTGTCTACTCTACCCAGATGTCATCCTCTAAAATATTAAAATAACTGTTGGGAAATTGAATCTCCACCAGACTGACTTCGTACTGTGTATTCAACTCGATATTCTATGGTAGTTTGACAAAAAAAGTGACCCAGTTGATTCCTGGCAAATATTTTTGGTGAGGCATTGCTAGGCAGCGTGATGTAGAAACTCATGGCCATTTTAAGGTCGTCTCTATTTTCGGATTCGGTAACAGTTAGCCCAAACAGCTAGACAAGAGAACAATCCAGAGTTTCCCCTCTTGCTTGCTAGCTGGTCCATATGTCAGATTAAAATGTGACATGCCGATGACGATATATACAACCACCAACTGAGAGATGAAATTGACTTCAAGACTTGGTCGTAGTTTACCGAACCAACGTTGTTCACCGCCGGGGGGGGGGGGGGGGGGGATTTTACAGCCAAGACGGTAATTTCATCCACTTTGGCGTCTTTCATAACACTAGTTTTCGTACCGCTCGAGTTGTTGGTCGGCTATCCAACTGTTTAATGAGGCGGAATAACCAAACCACCTGACTAAGTGTTCTCTACCACCTCTGAAACTGCGTCTTTCTTGTATAATCTTTTCGATTCGATAAAGTTCTTTGCCGCCAACTTTTTAAATTTCTTCTTTATAAAATGCACCTCGCAATTCCTCACCCGAATAATCTTTCAACACATACGTTATCGGTTTGGTCCTGTGAACATTGTTTTTCCTGCCACATTTCTTATACAACTCATCTTACATGTTGCAATCTTGTGTTTATGTTTTTCTAGGACTGTCCATGTTGGAAAAAAGTGCTCGGCTGAAAGGCGTATATAGTTCAGTAAGGTGTCGCAAATTAGCCTGAAAACTACTTCACCATGCAACTCATCCCCTTTTACTTGCATCTTTGAAGGAAAAGAAAAGTAAGTCCATACATTTTTCTTATTTTACATGACCTGTACTTCCAAAGCTGTGAGATATGAATCATAATAATATTTACTGACAAAACTAACAAATAAAATGAATTTGGTCTTCTAGTCCAAAACTAAAGTTGGCTAGACTGCATAAAATATATGACAAACAGACACAGCACTTTCACAATCAAGCACACTGCGTGCAAAATAAAAAAGGAAATATTCTTAATAAAAATACATTATGTTTGAAAATGATTTATTTTAGGCACAGCGGAAGCAACAGCGTATAATTTAACTTCTATTTTTAAAATTACTTTTCCCCCTTTTGTAATGCATCATCATCTTCCCTTGTCCTGCCGACTGGCGTAGGCAGTCATGCATCTCAAGAGATCTCGGTCCGTTGTCATCTGGATCAGTTATGCCGATGATATCCCTTCGTGCCACCGGCACAATCCATCCATCATCATCTCTCTCGATCTGCTTCTCCCTCTTCTACCATTGATCTTCCCAGCCATCAGAGTATTCTCCAAAGCCTTCCCCCTCATCACATGACCAAAGAAAAGTGCTTGTCTTTTTCTTATAGCAGTATATATATATATATATATATATATATATATATATATATATATATATATATATATATATATATATACATATATATATATATATTGATCTGCTTCCTTTAAGCAATCCTCATTAGTTACTCTGGCACTCCAAGAGATTCTTAACATTCGCTGAGAAACCACATCTCTGTCGCATCCAAGTTCTTTCTAATTTGTGCATTTACATTCCATGATTCACTAACATACAACAATATAGGCTCTATAAAACATTTTAGTGCTCTCTTTCGTACATCCAAAGAGAGGAACCTGTTGCACAAGATGTTCTTCATTCTGCTAAATGCAGCCTTAGCCTGGCCTATTGTACTCCTAACTTCTGACACACATATCCATCTGATGCTATGATTATACACAGATATTTGAATTTATCCACGTGGATTAATGTTTTAGTGTCTACTCTAATATCACACAGTTCTGATTTCTCTTCTTTGCTATAACCATTACCTCTTTATATTGAAGGACATACTCTTTTTTGCACTCACAGTGTCTCTAGTGGAATGCAGCTGGAACAATTTTCAAGGTGACTCAGTAGTCACTATTCAGATATGAATGCAACACAACAAAGTTCAGAAAACTGATTCAAGTGCATAAAACAGTTTTATTGAGACACCCTACAGTTACAAGTAACCGGCTATCTAATTTGAATGGGTATTCTGGAGGTCAGAAAACGAATTTCCGCATGCTATACAAAGCCAGTTGTAACAAATGGTTGTGAATCCTGGACAATTAATAACCAAGCCAAACAGGCCTTACAAATAAATCCTTTGAATTCCTTTGGACAGCCAAAAGACAAACCCAAATATTTGGGAAAGAAATTAAAAAGGTGAGGACTCAAAGACAACTTTTAACAAACATCAGAAAGAGACACTTATTAATTATTATTTGGTGCGGGGAGGGGTCTCATTTCAAGAAAACAGAGAAACTGGAAAATGTGACCACCGGAAAGAGATTGAGAAAAAGAAAAAGAGGAAGACAATATGTTACAATTCTTGACAGCCTTTCATCATGGCATGTGGGATGCATGCTGCTGAAGACTGCAGATTGTGGAGATACACAACCACCCACACCAGTCAGCAAGGTATCTGATGAATGTCAATGATTCAAGAAAGTTAACATGAGCCTCCATCTGTCAGGGGAATTAAACAGTTTTAGAATTCCAACTGGTTTATGATAATATTGTTAGAAACCATTATGATTCTTGAAGAACTGCTGTTATCTTGAAAATCCTCATATTTATTAAAATATTATATTTACCTCTGTTGTACACTGGACACATCAATCATGTGCATGTGGCACACACTTGCAACTGCCGTCCTTACATGAAAGTACAAGGTGCTGGGGTCAGAAATGTACCTTAAAGTTGCAAAGGGGCAGGAACACCCTCTGTATGATGCCTTTGGTGATAGCAAGAGATATGGGCTGAAATGAGGTAGCTCTTGGATGGCACAGGCAGAAATCACTATCAGAGTGGTTTGATTTAACTGACAAGGCAGCACATGGTGGTCACAGTGCTACCCAGCAAAACAGCCTTGAACAGTGATAGCTATCTTGGACCGAGGCTGCTAGGAATGGGTAGATGGCAAAACAGATGCATCAGGGCAACAGTTGATTGATGAGAATTCCCATCCAGGTGACATTATAAAAATATAGATAAATCTGTAGTGAGAGGTGAAAAGACTGGGTGTTGCTTTTATTGTAAAGGTGAATGGATACTATTTAAAAACAGAAAGCTTCATGTACAATGTCACAACATACAGAATGAGAATGGAGATGGAGGCTGTGATGAAAGCTTTTTGATGGCTTGAGGGCAATACATCCCATCATGATGTAATTGTAACAGACTCAGAAAGCAAGCTTATGAAAATAGAAACAGGTATTCTAAAGGCAGGTAGGTGGCTTGTATCACTTGACAAGACTCAGATCAGGAGCATATCATGGATCTTCTGTCCTGGATATTCGAGTGCGTGAGGTAATCAGCAGGCTGATAGTGTGACTGCTGCCGCTCTTCTGGGTGTTGAGCTACAAATGATAAAGTGATGTGAATGCTCTTTGGGATCAAGTGGACAGCTGATACTATTACCATGGTTACTCTTTGTTGGTTACTAAGGAAGGAGATGGAGCACATGTAAACATTTCCAAAGTGCAGTGTTGTCAATTTTTGATTCAAAGAAATAGTCAAACAGTATGTATATTCTATAGAACAAAATATAAATATACACTTTTACGCACATCTATCTATCTTCTTTTACCCCACCAGGACATCACACAAGAGATAAAAACCTGATGACACAAAATGCCACCATGTGGATGAGGATCACCTGTGGAGAGGTCCCAGAAACCGCGTTCAGTCATTAGACCATATATATGGCCGGGCTATATTGTGGCCCCTGGCTTCAAATAACAAAAAAATGCATCCCACATAGGGATGACTGAGTTACATATTAACGCACACATATACAAATAAAGAATATATCACTGTTTGTCTTCAGCACAGTAAAGCATGCCACATTTGTTTTGTGTCTAAAGGTTCAGGAAGTGTTTGGTATCTGCTTATGTCTTCAATCCCAGTCACCAAAAGAATTGTGGAGGTGGCTGTTGCAGCCTGTTTAAATCTTGGTTCCTTGGCACTATTTCTGATCTACCACCATTTTTAAAGTAAATTGATTGGCTGTGGTCAGACAGACTGATTCTCTATCCTGGACACAGGAGTGGATCAGACCAGTTTCTTGTGAGCTCAACATTGGAAACACGATATGAGTTATATCTGATTCACACAAGACACTTGTTGTGGCTGATTTGTTGACTGCTTCTTTTCTCATAAAGTGTGAAATAAATGAAAAGTTCTACAACAGTGTTCAATAACTCCAATGTCATAAATATTTCCAACCTTCACTAAAGAGTTACAATGTTTACAAAGATATGATTATACTAAACTATTCATTGATCAGTGTGTGCTATGTGAGCTGGGGCGAGGCAGATCGAGTGTCTCTTCTCGATACATAAATGGGTCAAACCAGTTTTTTGTGGGGTTGAACCTTGGAAACCTGATGTGAGTTACATCCGATTCAGACTCCAGACTTGCAGTGGCTGATTTTCTCTCTGCTGCTTTTCTCCTGAAGTGTGAAATGAATGAAAAGAACTACAGCAGAGTTTAGTTACTCCAATTTCATAAATATTTAAAAACGTTACTATAGAGTTATTATGAAATAGGGTGGGTAATCATGTTTACAATGATTACAATATATTATTAATTGATCATTGTATGCTATTTAGTGGCAAAGAAGAAATGGCTTTCATCAACAGTAGTGAAAGGCAACTCCTTTAATCCTAACTGCATGAACATCATAAACACTTCCAGTCTGAGAATGGTGATAGAGGCAGTCACTGCAATTCTACCCTGTCTCCTGGGATGGTTTTATTCAATACAGTTATTTCATCTGGTTTCAAGTATATAGCTGTAGATGTTAAAAATTGGGTATTTTGATGCACATTTTATCATGTATTACCTCCTAATATTTTGTGAGCCACTTTTGAAATTGTTCAGAGGTCACTTCATATTTACCAAACTCTACTTAGAGTGGCTTCATTGGTTGAGATTCTACAAGTCTAGACTGACAGAAATTACACCAATATTATTTTCTAGTATTTCTATGTCTCTTCCAGTAATGTGTGTGGTGACAAATGGTAGCTGTAACTTACAAATCAGTGAAGAAATAAGCTTCTAATTATTACCAATCTTCACTGGATATATAATCCCAAAGTGAGTTTGAAAATGTATACACTTAGGTAGTAGTAGTACATTTTACCTCACTAGGATAAACACCTGATGACACTAAGTGCCACCAAGTGGAAGAGGATCACCCGTGGAGAGGTCCCGGAAACCGCGTTCAGCCATTAGGCCATATTTATAGCCAGGCTATATTGCGGCCCCTGGCAAGAGCCAGGGTGGGGCTTCAAAATAAAGAAAAATTGCATCACACGAGGGAATAACTAGTTACGACAATATTATGTACACTAAGGATTACCTTTCAAAATAATAAGGTTGATGACTGGATCGACTATGCTGCTTCAGCAGTGATACATATTATATGCTGGGGACAGCAGTGGATAAGCAGGCAATTCTCCAAAGTCTTGATGTATTTTTTGTGTGCTTACGGCTAAGGTTTGCTATCACACATTTCCAAAAACGGACTGAAGTCGACATTTTCCTTGCCCAAGTTGCTGAGCTGAGTGACTGATGCAATACTGCCAGCTGTATATTTCTTGCAGAAATTCTTTTACTCTGACCAACGGCAGTTTGGGCCAAGTGGTTAGTCTGTGCTGAGGCTGCCAAAGTGCTATTTGTAATTCTATTGCATATCTTCTTCTTCTTCTTCTTCTTCGCGTTCACCAGCTGTAAACTCTGGCAGAAGGTTCTGGTTGCTCGTCCACTACTGAACTGCAGTCCTGCTCTAGAACCTGAGTGCTGCGTGTGCATCAGTTTTACAGATCTCATTCTCTTGAATACAGACTGTTAGTTCCTTGCCTCTCCGGCAGATGCACTCCGACTTCAAAGGAAGCTCCCCAATTAGTCAGCTCTTACGACATGCTTTTGGGGAGGCAGTGGGTCTATTCTTGTTTTCCCCAGAATGAGGCCCCGGAACCTACACGGGGGTCTATTGCATGTGTAAGGCCAAATTGTCATGACTCACTATTCCATAAATGACAATCTGCAATTTTGATGACAACTTTTGGTACTGGCACCTATAGAGCCTGTTTTATGCATTTACTATGTGTACATGTTTTTGGTTTTAGCAGGGATAACTGTATGCCCGCTAGTTTTCAACATGTATAGAATGCATTTCCTTCAAAACTGTGATGAGATAACTGGAGAAAGAAGAATAAGATCTAGACAAGGTTAGCATTGTGGTCTTACATTCTGTCACATAAACCTTGCCTACCTGCATGCAAGGATTCCACAAATGATCGCCAGAATCAGGAGCAATCCTCCCACCCCAGCAGTCACTCCAATCACTATTTTCAAATTCTCATCTTCTGAAAACCAGAAAGAAAAGCCAGTTTAACTGATGTATGACCTTTTCTCTATAGTATCTCATGACATTTATTCTTACACATTACATATAATATCTATACATATAAAAAGTAAAGCTAGTCTCATATAAGATACTGCAATTGTGGTTTTGTGAATTAGGTCTTGGCATATTATAGGTAATTAGATGAAATTACCTTCACCATCATCTTTCCTTTGCAGACAATTCAAAGAAAATTATGTGGCTTTTTTTTTCTCTATGTCACCTCCAAAGCTGTACTGGTCAGAAACAAAATAATATCTGCTTCTTCTTTGTGGTCATCGGCTGTAAACCGCAGTGAAAAGTTCTGTTTGTTTGTCCACCTCAAGTCTTCTTCCAGAAACTGATATCCGTTTTACAGATCTGGCTTTTTGTTGTGCAGACATTTGATTCTCAGGTGGACTTAGCCAAAAAAAAATAGTGATCTCACGCAACATGCTTTTCTTGTGGTGGGGAGGGGGGGGGGATGGGTGGGGGGGGGGGAGGGGGCAGTGGGTCGATTATTATTTTCCCCACAATGGGACCCTGGAACCAACATGGCCAGAAAACAATAATATTACATCTGCAGAGTGAACCCAGATTACTGTCTTAGATTAAAAGCGTACAAACCACTAGGGGAACTCAGCTTCCATGCAAACAGAGCTAAGTAAACACAACAGATGGTATTGTTTAAAACAAAAAAATACTTTTTTCTTTGTTGGGTTATTGTAAATGTTGGGTTGTATTTGCTTGTTGAAGGTGGTCAACATCAATCAGCAAATCTTTTACAGTATGCCACTCTCATCATTGCACACCTAGCCAGTTCTCCAACCCTATGTGCTTGCATAGCCAATGCATCTTCAATGTCTTGTTTCTGCATTCGCAGAGGTGTGTCTCTGACTCGTTCTTTCAGAAACAGCACTCCACTTACTCCCCCCCCCCCACACCCACCATTCACTCCAAGCCACAATGACGTTTAAAATGACTAACATACCCCAGCTGTCTGGACAGGATGCTGTTCTTTAGCCATTTATGTTGTTGAATGCTGAATTAAGAAACAACATCATAGCACTCATGACACTCCGATAAGCACTCTGCTCCCATTTTCAGCAGCAAATAAAGAGTTCCAATTCCGAGGGCACAGTAACTGTCTGATTGTATATCTGTCTTGACTTTTCCTTGAGTGTTGAGTTTTCACCAGATCCCCTGGTAATTCCTCGCAGCACCATTAACCTCAGACTGTAATGATCTGTTTGCGCTTCTGCACTGTTCACTCACTCCTATAGAGCCCTCACAATGTCTAGCTTGTCATATATCAGTTCACCACCAAGTGGTGCAGAACCGACCAGACCATCTGCCTGCTCATTTCCCAACCCACCGGCATATTATAGACAGTTAGATACAGTGTTAGTAAACAATTAATCTTTTTCTAGAGGTGCCTTATCTCGAGCAGGTGTTTGATATGACTTTTCAGTCCTTTCCATCAATTGTTTATTTTTAGATTTTTTATGTAGAATTGATTTAATAAATATTACTATTTGTTGCCTGGCTGTTTAAGCCTTCCATATGTAATTCATTTTGTTAAACATCTTATTTTCCATACATATACACATATTAAATTATCTCCATTACATAAAAGCTACAACATGTAAATATACTTGCCTGGCTCTTGTCGCAGATCACATACATCACCGTAATAATCTGAATGACAGTGACAGTAGTGTTTTTTTTCAGAATTTATTTCACAAGTTCCTTTGTCCCCACAGTAATTTTTGTTTGTTGCACAGATGCCTGATAGAAAAGTTATGAAAGTGAAGAAATATTAGACAATGGCAACCAGATTTTTCATTAAACAGAAGTAAAAAAAAAAAAAATACACCCACACACACACACCATATTTTGAACTGCATTTGCAAAGCTATAATGTGTCTTTAGAACGTTCATACTAATGGTCTAGGTAATGTTATCACATCACTGACAGCTCTCTTTAAAAAAAAAAAACTTAGTTTCATGTAACCAGAATGATGCAGATATTTATGATATATGGAAGCCACAAAAATAAGTTGTTTAAGTCTAGAATTATGCAGATAGAAGAATATAATGGTTGTTCACCTGCATTTGCCCTGGTGAAACAGGCAGTTACTTGTGAATGTAGTAGATTTGGAGTTTCAGTTAAAAGCTTTCATTTATTTTATTTATTTTGATCAACTGTTACTGAAGTATGCACTTGAGATAGAGCAATACATGCCAGGTCATAAATTGAATGGTATAGTTTTTGTGTTTTCTATTATACCATTTTAAAAAACTATCATAAAAAGAATAGATAAAAGGATGTTTTTATGCCGGTGGCACATCGAGCATGTGGTCTATAACCCCAATCTATAAAAACCAGTTTGCACTCAATGGGTGAGGTCAACACCGAGCCAACCGTCTTTAACTCTCTGGACATTTTCTAGAACAGTTTTAAGTTGGATTCACCTAGCAGACAAAGTCAACTGCTGAAACTGGGCTTGATGCAGATTCGAACACAAGACCTCAGATCGACAGGTAAGCAACAGCAATTATTCATTAGAATTGGTGAAATATTAGAGCTAATGTTGTGCATACACCCTATGGTGAGAGTATCAAAATGCTCGTGTAGTGTGTCTACCGGGAAAGGAACGTTAATAAACTTGTCTTTTAAAAAAAAAGAATTCTGACAGTTGCAATGGTAAGTAGTACAAGCATTTAGTGTTTTCCTGGCACTCTTTTATTTAGACACTTTGTGGTGAGTACCACCATATTTTATAAGACACTTTATAGTGACTAGTGACACCTTTATTTCTACTAAATAAAGCCATGATAATGACTGTAGAAGAATATGACAGTATAACAATAGAGTCTATGAGTATAACAACAGAGTCTATGAGTATAACAATAGAGTCTGCTGAAGCTGCAGATGTACACAGTAGAATTTGTATCTGTTTCTCTGTGGGATCTATTATTTTCTTCAGTGTTATATTAAATATTTCCATGGTGATGTCACACATTAACACCAGCTTGGGGTTAAAACAAGAATACATCACCTATTTATTTCATAGTGTTATATTTTATTATTGATTAAACAAGAAGTTTTAAATAATCCAGAGAACAAGAAGGAAAGCTATTGTTGGATATCTCTATTATATATCATTTGAATATTCTATTGAATTACTTACACTGTAATGTTATGTAAAAGGCATACCTTTTATATAATTACACCTAACACCAGCCCTCAACATAATACTCATAGAAAAAATATCCATAGATTTATTCCAGAACATACAAAAGAAATCTGGTTTCTTCACTGGCTAATACAATAGTCCTATAGCATCCTTCACAGTTTTGCACCCATATTATTGCAATGTAGTTACTTCATTCTTTGGGTGTCTGATGTTAAATCTTTGGTACTAACATTATTAAAAGTTTATTTATTATGTACACAGTATTTGCCTGCACACTTTTTTTTTTCTACAAAAAAAACACACCTAATACCCTACAAATAATTGTCTAGAATGAAATTCAATAGCATGAAAATTTAAAATGTAGAAAGAAATTATCAAACATAAATTTTTAATGTGGTATCAAATCAAGTAGCTTACCATCACAAGATGATGCATTGATTCCAGCACCAACTGTTGCTGTAGTTTGTCCATCAGGACATGATTCACATTTATCACTGACAGGATGTGTTGAGTAAGAGCCTTCTGCACAGGGTTCACATTTATCAACCCTAAAGAACTGCCCAGGAACACAAATTTCTAGACAGAGTAATATAATTGTTACTTATTATTTTCAGAAAGGATTTGATTATTGATTACTGAATGCTCATTTAAGAAAAAAAAAACACTATAGCACACCGGACAAACCCACTGATGCTCCGTCTTCTACAACAAATGTCTTAAGGTATAGATGTTAAATTATTCCTGTGGGTTCCGTTGTCCCAATGTAGGGACACCAAAAACAGATCCGCTGGCTTCCTAACAAGAATGTTGCAGGAGTCAAACTAATTGTTAGCTTCCTTCAAAGTCAGAGTGCATCTGTCCGAGTGGCAAGGAACAACCAACTGCGTACAAATAAGCCAGTAAAATGCATGTCAATGCTGAACTCAGGCTCTAGCATGAAGTCAAAGTCCAAACAGACAAACAACCAGAACTTTCCGACAGAGCTTACAGACAGTGAACAAAAAAGATGTTGAGGATGCTACCTGTTCGCGTAGCACACTGATTATACACACATCATTCACTTTCTCTCATACGTCCCTCTTTACTGAATCCGTACCTAATGCATGGTTCACACATTCTTTCATATGTTATATTGTCTAACCTCATGTCTTCTATCAGCATTCATTTATAAATGGTCTTCAGAAAGTGTCCATTTTTTCTAGAAGCTATCACTTTTATAACCAGAAAATCCACTCTTTCATTCTCTCGCACTCTTGCATGTCCTGGACAGTATATCCACATGAGTCAATGTGTTGTTGATATGCTGATGCTTGGTGTTCACTCATGCTACATTTGTTTATTTTCAACTTTCTGCAGTATCAACTGAGGATCAGACACAATGATTCCTCTATTTTCTGCTATGCCCTTCAGAGCTGCAGGTCCCTGTGTGGGTTCCCGGGCCTTGTTACAGGGAAAACAAGAACAGACCTACTGACTACCCAAAAACCTTGTCGTAAGAGTTGACTAATTGGGAGCTTCCTTCAAAGTCAGAGTACATCTGCCTGAAAGGCAAGGATCTAACAGTCTGCGTACAAATTAGTCAGATCTGTAAAACGGATGCACATGCAACTCAGGTTCTGGGACAAGACTGCAGTCCAGAAGTAGAGGAACAGCCAAAACTTTCTGCCAGAGTTTACAACTGCTGAACACCAGGAAGAAGAGGTGCAGGGATTGCCTCCACTTCCACTGTCATGCTTAAGGTTGTAGTTAAAAAAAGTGCTATTTTGTCCTGATGGGACATCTCCGGTCATTAATATATAAAATTAGCATATGTGAACTGTAATCTTTTCTGTCTCGATGTATATCAATCAGCTAATGGCAAAGTTTTAATGCACACAAAATGAAGCCATGTGGATGATTTTGGAATATGTCTAGTAGAGTGTATGTGACACCTCCTTGCACTATGACTGTTGTAGATAGGCTCAAAGTGTTGCGAGCGAGGTCATACCTAAGAGCAGCCACAAGACAAAAAGCACATCCTTCATGAAGCTTTGGATACAGTCAAGGGCCACAGGCCGATCAAAGGAAACTTGAGGATGGCACAAGCAGAAGAGAATCAGAGATGTGTTTTCAACGCAATTATTTGTAGTGGTGTATATTGTTAGACCTATATTTTATAGACCAGTCAGGCACATATAGTTCATCACAGTTGAACAGCTTGAAGGCACATATTGATCGTCACCGTTAAACAGTTCAAAGGCACATATAGATCGCCACAGTCTGAAGAGAATGGTGCAGTGGGGATGGGGGGAGGGGGGTGTGTCAAATCTGGCTGACACTTTTTAAAAATTTAGACACTTTGTGGTGAGTACCCCCATATTTTATAAGACACTTTATAGTGACTAGTGACACCTTTATTTCTACTTAACAAAGCCATGATAATGACTGCAGAAGAATATGACAGTATGAGTATAACAACAGAGTCTGCTGAAGCTTCAGATGTAAGCAGTATGTAGAATTTGTATCTTCTCTATTTTCTCTGTGGGATCTTAATATTTTCTTCAGTGTTATATTAAATATTTCCATGGTGGAGTCACACATTACCACCAGCTTGGGGTTAAAACAAGCATATGTTACCTATTTATTTCATTGTGTTGTATTTTATTATTGATTAAACAAGAAGTTTTAAATAATCCAGAGAACAAGAAGGAAAGATATTGTTGGATATCTCTATTATATATCATGTGAATATTCTATTGAATTATAAACACTACAATGTTATGTAAAAGGCATACATTTTATATACACCTAACACCAGCTCTAAATGTAATACTCATAGAAAAAATATCCATAAATTTATTCCAGAACATACAAAAGAAATCTGGTTTCTTAACTGGCTAATACAGTAGTCCTATAGCATCCTTCAGTTTGGGTGTCTGAAGTGAAACCTTTGGTGCCAACATCATTAGTGATTTTTTCCAAAAAATATTATTTCACTGTATTTGCCTCTACACCGTCTATGTAAGTAGAGTAAAGATCCCTTTTCATGCCTATAGGTGCATCAAGCATATGGGAAGAGCACCCATAATTCTACAGACCAATTGACACTAGGTGGATAATGTGGTCAGTTCAATGTCGGCCGTCTTTACTTCACCAGGAAACAGATCCTGGTACCCATTTTAGGCTGGGTTGACATGCGATGCCCCATACAATGATAAAAATCCACACAGCCAGCTGTGGATTTCAATCATGGTAATTGGAATTATGAGTTGGACTCGCAATACCTAAGCCACGGTTGCCTCCACACCTTTTTTTTTATCTACAAATAAAGAAATACACCTAATACCCTACAAATAATTCTCTAGAATGAAATTCAATAGCAGGAAAATTTAAAATGTAGAGAGAAATTATCAAACAAACATTTTAATCTGTTATAATATCAAGTAGCTTACCATAACAAGATGATGCATTGATTCCAGCACCAACTGTTGCTGTAGTTTGTCCATCAGGGCATGGTTCACATTTATCACTGACAGGATGAGTTGAATAATTGCCTTTTGCACAGGCTTCACATTTATCAACCGCAACGAACTGTCCAGGAACACAAATTTCTACACAGAGTAATATAATTATTACTTATGAATTTCAGAAACGACCTTCACAAAAAAACATGCCAGATTTGATTATTGATTACTGATGCTCATTTAAGAATCAACATCATAGCTTACCGGGCAAACCCACTTAAGCTCTGTCTTCTACAACAAATGTCTTAATGAATAGATGTTAAATTATCCCTGTGGGTTGAGGGGTCCCATTGTGGGGACACCAAGAATAGACCCACTGGTCTCTCAAGAAGCATGTTTTAGGAGTCGAATGATTGTTAGCTTCCTTCAAAATTAGAGTGCATCTGCCTGAGCGGCAAGGAACAACCAGCTGCGTACAAATAAGTCAGATTTGTAAAACGAATGCAAATGCAACTCAGGTTCTGGGACAAGACTGCAGTCCAGAAGTAGAGGAACAGCCAAAACTTTCTGCCAGAGTTTACAACTGGTGAACACCAGGAAGAAGAGCTGCAGGGATTGCCTCCACTTCCACTGTCGTGCTTGAGGTTGTAGTTAAAAAAAGCGCCATTTTGTCCTGCTGGGACATCTAATGTCATTAATATATAGAATTAACATATGTGAACTGTAATCTTTTCTGTTTCAATGTATATCAGCTAATGGCAAAGTTTTAATGCACACAAATACAGCCTTTTGGGATATGTCCAGGAGAGTGTATGTGACACCTCTTTGCACTATGACTGTTGTAGATAGGCTCAAAGTGTTGCAAGCGAGGTCATACTTAAGAGCACCCACAAGACAAAAAGCACATCCTTCATGAAGCTTTGGATACAATCAAGGGCCACAGACCGATCAAATGAAACTTTAGGATGGCACAAGCAGAAGCGAAACAGAGAGGTGTTTTTGTTAAAGACTTTTCCACTCTATTATCTGTAGTGGTATATATCGTTAGACCTATATTTTTTAGACCAATCGGTGCTTGATGGGTGATAAGGGCAACAACACAACAGCTACCTTTACTTTTAAGGACTTTATCCAGCACTCATTTTAGGCTGGGTCAGAAATTTGTCTTTTATTACTTCTTAGTGTTAGCTAGCTGTAAACTCTGGTAGAAAGTCTAGGTTGTTTATCTAATTCAGAACTTTTGTTTTCTTTTAGAACATGACTATTGAGTGCACATCCATGTTACAGATCTGGCTGATTTATGTGTAGAATGGTAGTGCACCTCAACTTTGAAAGAAATGGCCCTAATTAGTAGCCTTGTATTACACTGCTTGTTGGGAAGGCAGTGGGTCTATTCTTGTCCCTCCAAAATGGATGGACTATCAATACAAATGTCTTGAAGGTTCATTGTAAAAGCAAATAAATGTTGTTTAGTGCAACACAGACTGGGATATTCAGTTTAAGAGGGAGGTAGAGTAAGTTAAAGCAGTTTTTAATGGCTTGAGAACTAACTGCTCATACAGTTGCTGAAAAAAGTGGTGAAAAGCATGCTACATGCATGGCGAGCATTGATTCAGATTTTCCTGGTAGTTAGTGTTCTTTGAATATTTCCTGCAGGGGATGCGTCTTGGGAAATGAACAGGTAGACAAACTGACTGGTACTGCACAACCTGGTTGTAAATGTATGCTTAAAGACACACATAGATTATCACAGTTGAACAGCTAGAAGGCACATATAGATCGTCACAGTTGAACAGCTTGAATGCACATACAGGTCATTACAGTTGAACAACTTGTAAGCACATTTAGATCGTCACAGCTGAACAGCTTGAAGGCACACAGAGATCATAACAGATGAACAGCTTGAAGGCCCATAATGATCGTCACAGTCTGAATAGAATGGTGCAGTTGGTGGGAAAGGGGGGGGGGGGGTTGTGTGCTGTGTGACCAGAAGATCTGGCTGACACTCATTACTCAGGTGAAAGGCAGGATAAACATTTCACCGGTCTATTACTGGCACAGTTAGAACTCGAACTATTTGCTCGCTGCTGAAAATGAGGACCAAACACTTATGGGAATGTTCAAAGTAGTCTTATGCAATTTTTTAACTACTAAACAAAATTATTTCGTTTTTGTGTGTGTTGAAGATAATCCATAAAGATATTATATTTCTACTCTCTTTCACATTTTTAAATCTCACGTGTGGGCCAAAATTTCCAAACAACAAAAACTGTTGTCCTGATCCTCCAATGTATTGGGCTTATTGTTGGGCTAATTTGCTTCTGACAAGGTTTTACAACACAACCTTGAATAACAACACACGTAAACAAATCGATATTATAATTATCACAGGAACAATGTTTTGATCGGTACTCATAGAAAGAAGTAGAAAGATAGAAGGACACACTAGACTACATAACAATCAAAAGCAGTAGTTACTGGGCTGGGAATCGAACCCAGCACCTCCAGATGGCATGTGAGCCTCGCTATGGAAACAAGTGTATTAAGAACACAACCAACTAGGCACCCCCTGGAGAGGGTGTCTTCACTAACATGTCTGTCGTACAGCTTGAAATCCACAATTTTGGAATACAGACAAAATTCATCTCAACCCATTTAAATGGCACCATAGGTTACAGAAATTTTTATTAACGAAGCATAGGTTGAATAACAAGCACAGAAACAGTTTAGGAACACAGTAGGCCTTAATGCTTTGTCTAGAATACACAAACATTTAAGAAAGAGATTTGATTGGTAGGTTTCATTGTGCTACATGTCATTCACATAAACAGAAAAAAGTCTATGGTTATTTACAAACATACTGAAGGTGACTACTAATAACTTCACTTATAATTTAGTACAACATTAACACAACACTGCAATCAGAGACCATTAATAATACTTTCTATCTTTTTTTCACACTCCATTTTGTCAACTGTCATTCATCATATTGTTATCTATTCTCCCAAAATCTTAATGTGCACAAATTGTCCAGGTCTTTCAATGATGACCTGCATTACTGACTTATATATATATATATATATTCACAATACGGATATTCACAATTCAACCTTATGAGATTATTAGACATAGAAGTTGTCTTACGTGGGTAGTATGAATTGCTAACAACACAGCCCGGACCACATCCTGCTACTTTGACTGAATCAATTGAAAGTGTGTAGTTTGTCTGAAGGAAAAAATACAATTCATGTCACTTTATTACAGGCAATAAAAATGATTAAAGTCAAAATGGGACTAGCATTAAAAATGTACTAAAATAAAAGAGGCAGAATCAAGACAGTAAAATTATTCATTGAGATCTAAAGATTCTTAGGTTAGTCAAACTAACTCTCTTTTCTAGACTAATTTACTGTAATAACACCCAAGGTATTAAAAAAACATGTATTCTAATGCCCTTACATCACATTTAGATTAGGTTGGGTTAGGGGGTGGGGGGGGGTAGTAATTTTGAGCATTATGGTTTAGCCTAGTGCATTTGCCACAAACATAGCAGCTGCTGAATTTATACAATGGAACCTCGCTTAATGAGCATAATTCGTTTCAGAATCATACTCATTAAGTGAAACACTCGTTATGCAAAACAATTTTTCTCATATAAATTCATGTAAAATACGTTCATGCATTCCATGTGGAAAAAAAATACTCGCAAAATGCTATGTTTAACGTTTATTCAAAGAAAATTATATACATATTGTTAAGGAGAGTGAATCATCTTCATCTTTTCTTCAAACGCGGAACAAACCTACCTAGAATGCAAATTTGATTTGCAGAAGAAAAAAAGTCGAAATAATTATGATTCATAGATAATTATATTTTTTTACTAGAGAAATGTCCAGAGACATCTGTTTCTGCTTCAAAATTTGGCGTTTTCATTAAATAAATTTGCAACGCGCATAGCCACTTCCTTATTAGGGTGATGCTTCTCGGTGTAAGATGCAACAGTTTGCCATGCTTTCAGCATTTCTCTTATTTTGCCAAAAGATTGTTGCTTTTCTGTCACCTCCTTCTCCTCCTCTGACAAACTTTCCTCCAAAACTTCTTGCTGTGAAAACAATGCAACTCCATAAGCTCTTGGGTAGTCCGCTCTTGGCTGTGCTCTTCCACAAGCTCTTCGATATCACTGTTATCCACCTACAATCCCATGACAGTGGCCAAAGACACAATCTAGTTGACTACAGGTTCCACAGGTACTGTCTTGAACCCCTCAAAGGCACAAATCAACAACGCTTTCCGGCCTAAGCTTCTTCCAAGCAGAAGTTAGAGTTCTCTTAGTAACACCTTTCCCTGCCTTGTCGATGATCTTGAGGCTGGCAACGATGTGAAAGTGATTTTTCCAAAACTCTTTGATGGTGTGGTTGGTCTCTTCAGTCACCTGAAAACAATGCTCGAAGAGTGCTTTAGTGTAGAGCTTCTTAAAGTAAGAAATAACTTGCTGGTCCATGGGCTGGAGTAACGGAGTGGTGTTGGGAGGCAGAAACTGAGTCTTGATGAACTTAAATTCTTCAGAGAGGTCATCTTGTAGGTCTGGAGGATTAATGTACATTTATCACAATATAACACAAGTTTCAGAAAATGTGTGATCACAAGCGACACTACGATACTACTGGAACAAGTGCTAAACACAGACTGATGTAACATGCACATAATTCGGGACTTCCTCTCTCCTCACCACTCGTTATGCGAAACGTCGCTCGTTAAGCAAGTCATTTTTTTACATTTTGTTTTATGTTAATAACTCGTTATCAGAGGTGCTGGTTAAGCGAGGTTCTACTGTAATTGCAAAACTTTATGTACATTGATATTAAAGGAACAAATGTGTGGAGCTCAAAGAATGAAATTAGGGAATGTATGGAGCTCAAAGAATGAAAGCAAGGAGTGTATGGAGGTCAAAAAATAAAAGTAGGGAATGTATACAATTCAAGAAATGAAACTAAGCAATGTATGGAGCTTAAACCTGCGGACGGAAGGTCGTGGGTTCAGGTCTTTGACAATGCCAGATTTTTTTTTCTACAGAAAATTGCTCCTGTATCGACCCTTTACTTTATGTGTTACTATGAAATCTTATGGTATGTTTTTTTTTTTTACCTGTGGTAATCATATTCTAGCAAAGTTCACTCAGACTTTATGCCACCTATTATAAAAAGGACCCTTTTTACATTTTTGGCACATCAGACAAACCACAAAAAAGGACACTTTAGGGGTATTGGGAATAAAGGGCTAGATCTTTATTTTCATAGACCATAGGTACTTGAGGGGTGATGTGGTCAACATCATACTGGCTGCCTTCCTTTCCTAGGACATTATCTGGTATTCTTTTTAAGGCTGGATTGATATAGGAACCACTGAAATAGGAAATAAAGGGACTGAGGAGGTGAATAAGCCCAAAAGAAACCCTAAAATGAATGTTGATGACAGAGGCCAAAGCTGCTGGATTCTATCTATGATATCGAATTTATCGCACAGGATAGAATGAAATGTAGGAATAGACTGACTGTGAGCACCATGTGACATATAAAGACACAAAAGGACAATGAATTAATAAATGAAATGGGAGCCAAAGTCAGTCAAAAAAAAAGATTCTTTGATAAGGATATGAACACTTCGCCCTGAGAGCAGCAGGTGAGTTTCTAGATCTACACTACCAAGACTACCCATTATTATTTTTTTTTTCAATTAATTCAAAAAAAAAAAAAAAAAAAAACGTGTTTACAGGCAATGACAAGAAACATCTAAATAGAAGATGGAAATGTCTTGGTGGCCTTATGAGAATGAATCCTGATTTATCAAACCAAAAAGGATTTCACTTAGGCACCAGAGAGAAAGAGAAACAAGAGGCACCCAAAAACAACATAAAGACAAAAGACTGAAAGTTAAACTAGTGCTGCATCTCTGACATGGAAAACTGCCCCGAAGATTGCACAGGACAGGAAAGTATGGAAAGTACTCTCTGGAGCCTCATTTGTCAGTAGGCATAAAGACCCAAGCCATACCATCACCAATCCATTTTCACCTCCTCCCTCCAACTTCACACAAAAATTTTTTTTTAAAGCAAACTTGTATAGCTAGATAGTATTTACTTTTTAATATGTGACATGATAGTATTATTTTTTATTTAACAGTACACACTTAGAATTAAATACTTGTTTTTCTCCTTCTTCCAATTTTTGCCATTACACATTCAGCTGGTATATTTCGCAAGAGGAAACTTTCAGAATGAAAAAGTAAACAGGTAAAGATAGATAAAATTATCTAAGAAAAAGCCGGCAACGAACCAATACTAAATTACATGCAAATCAAAGAATGCCGTTTGATGCCTTACTATACATTTTAAAAAAAAAGAATAAGAACATAAATCATGAGGCAGACCAAGAAGAAGAGTGAAAGATAACATCAGAGAAACTCTATTACAGCACAATGTGTCTTTTGTCAAAGTGATCAGATAAGCAAAAAGCATAACCTTTTTTTTTAATGTCTCCTTCAACATCTGAAGCGGTAAAAGAGGAAGTGAAGGAGAAATCTTTCTTCTAATTCAAAACATAGGCAACATACAAAATACTTAAAACTATAGAAATATGGCATGGTCAAAAGATGGTAAGTATACATCCCAAATTATATATAAAAAGTGAAGTCCGCTGACATTTGTTGGATCAAAAACTTACTAGTGTTTCATTTACAGGATCAAGATCATAAAAGGCTTCTATCAGAGCTGGCATTGAAGGTCTTAGCCGCCCATTTTGTCCTCTCACCACAGCACTGTTATTAAAAGGACAAGACATATGATCAAGCCTTGAATACACTGACCAATGTTTAATTTATCATGATATACAACTGTGTACACTGGACTTATTGTCTATAAGCCCTGGCTTGTGATATACTAATAATGATAAAGAAAAACCTTAGACCTGTGGAAGAAACATTACTACACATATGGGTCAGTAATATGGGGCAAGCAAAGTGCATGAGCCTTCACAGTAAGCTCAATAGGGAAAACCATCAAGGAGATGAATGGCGCCTTTCCTGTTACAACTAGTAGCCTTACAATGGAAACTGTGGCTGTAACAAGGGCTTAAGCATGGTTTGGTACTCAAAAGTTCACACACGTATGAATTCTTAGTGACTCAATGAAAATGCTTACAAAAATCCAAGCTGGATTTATCAGGCAAGAATGGATTGAAACACTAAGCACTTCACGAATATCTGCCCTAACCTTTATCTTATGAAAGGTCATGCAGGTGTTCAAGGGAACGAGCGTGCAGACTATCTTGCTGACACTGTAGTTGCTATTGCTGGCCATGTAGTGGAAATGTGATGTTATCAATGCCATGCGCTGCACTTACTGTACCGAGCAGCACACCACAGGACATGACTCCATATCCCTGTCTAGACTGATGGACATGGGAGTGCAGCCTGGAGCTGCAAGAAATGAACATTTCACTAAGGGGACAAGACGTTTCATTAACCAACACAGAACAGGTGTCATCAGTCATTTTACACTTTGGAGCTTTTAAGGAGGAGATCGGAGCACCTTTGGACCTATTCGAAGTGCTGTGATGATAATCCTTTAAAATCACTAATCGCTAATCACTAAGAAACATTACTGACATAGGGCTAATAACAGTCATTGTATATATATATATATATATATGTATATATATATATATATATATATATATATATATATATATATATATATATATATATATATATATATATATATATATATATATATATATATATATGTGTGTGTGTGTGTGTGTGTGTGTGTGTGTGTGTGTGAGTGTGTGTGCATGCATCAGTGCGTGCATGTGTGTTGTTGAATGAGGTCACTATAAAAATTCAGGGAGTTGAAACCTCTGACCACCAAGCAGACAGGCAAGCTTGATGGTCGCTGTGACATCATGGCACCACCAAGTTTCTGAACACATCCCCCCAAAAAATTGTGATGGTTTTGTTTTTCTTTCACTAAATATATTTCAAGGAAAGAATTCACTGCTTTTCTTCCCTTTGACCATGAAAACATGTTTTGTTAACATAGCCATGTGTTGCAAAACAATGTTATTAAGAAGTTGTTATGACATTATCGTGACATCAAAATGACAAAAATATGAATTTTCCCCTCACCTCACATAATATGGACAGTTGGAGGAGAGGGGTGGGGGAAGTAAATAGTATACCTAACACATCTACACACTATACAGTTGCAAACAATGCTGACTCTGTTATATAGGCTGGTAACGTCTTCATGTGCCCGAAAGCAAGGGTGTGCTCACCGGACAAAACTGGCCCACCGAACACTTTTTACTGGCCAACGAGGCTCGTGTAAAATTACTGTGTAATCTGGTCCTTGAGTTCACAAAATAAAATAACAAAAAAACATATGCTCGCATGCAGAAAGAAAAAAATCCAACTATCAACATCTAAAATGTGCTAACTAGAAACTTGTTACCAAATCTTCAATCCTGCTAGTGAGACACGTGTTACAGACAAACTCAGTTATTAAGACAGAGACTGTTGTCGGTCTTTGATAATAAAATATAAGGCAACTGTCATCCTTTTTTTTTTTTTCATCTGGTTGGCAAGGTATAGATCAACCTGCTAGAACAGACACATTTAGGAATATAAAGAAGCGCTTATTTAGAAAAATATAGAAGTACTTCAGTGGGTGAATGTTTCTGGACAGCGACATAATGAGAGATTATAATCTTAGATTGTTCCTTACAGAGAGAGAGAGAGAGAGAGAGAGAGAGCTATGTGTTTATAATGGACTTTTTTCTATATGGACCGTGACAAGGTTGGTAACTTAAAATTTTGCCCAGAAAAAAAACAAAACAAAGAGATGTCCACCCGGGCTCTAAACTGTCATTCATTAAAAACCATTTAAGTTAAAAAAAACTACTCTATAATAGCACACGTAAATATTTTAATAAATTAACTTACTCAGTTTGATTTACTGACACATTTACAGTGGCATTTCCACTTGTCTGTTGCTTGCTGCCAAAGCTTTTCCCACATAAGTCTACAATTTTAATTTGAAAATCGGAGGAGCAGTTATTGGGGCAAATCCCAACATATCGCCTGTTTTGATTCTCAATTAGCTGCAAAATCACTTTCCTAATACCATCTTTGACTACTTCAGGCTTTGAACAATTTTGCACACTCATAGTAACATCGAGTGACAGGTCAATCTTGTCCACAGGCGAAGTAGAACCTGAAAATGTAAGTTTAACTATAAAAATAGTATGTAATTATTATTGTATTCTTTCTCTTCTTCTTTTTTTCTTCTCTCTCTCTCTCTCTCTCTCTCTCTCTCTCTCTCTCTCTCTCTCTATCTGTTCGCTTCGTGTAAAGTACTTTTCAGTTTCTCTGATATTTCTGCGGTTCATATTTTGCGTGGTCGACCTCTAGATCTGTTACCGTTGTATCTGTATAACATTGCTCAGTGTGGTACCCGTCTGATGCAAGTCTTGTTACATGGTCAAACCATTTGATTTCTTGTCTACTTATAAAGTTCAGAATTAGTTCTGTGTCGACTCTCCTCTTGGTTGGTGAGATCTCTTCATTTTCTATGAGTACTAAGTAAGCCACTGTTAGTTTGCTAGACAAGTCACAGTGTTTTCAAACTTCCTAGAAGGTCACATTTGAACTAGACTATCACATTCAGAAAAGAACATCTGAAAGAGAGCAAGTTAAAAAAAAAGAGAGGCTGACTTTACAGAAAAATGATGAAGCTTTCAGTGATGCTTATGAAAAGGAGCTGAATGCTGCAGTTGTGCAAACAGGGCTAGTACCCACACTCTTACAGCTGAAAATGTTTGGTGATTTAGATAGTAAGTCAGGATTAATTTAGAGAGGCTTTTAACTGATCATTCGTACTTGTCAAATTTATTGCTGTGACATGTTTGCCATAAATATGGCTATAACTGTTTTTACTCTGAGATGGTGAGGAATGTGGGGACCACACAAACGGTGAGGAATGTGGGGACCACACACATGGTGAGGAATGTGGGGACCACACAGACAAAAGATAAGAGTAGGAAAGTTATTGATTTGTGGTACTGGAAAGAACCTGATATGCGCTTTGATGACTTGTGTAGTAGGAACATCATCAGATCATCATCATCAATCAAAAGTCCTTTACAGAACGTCGCTCTCTTCACAGTATGCCTGAAAGTATTCCTTTCCCTAGCCAGCTCTCCAGCCCCATGTGCTTTCAATGCCAATGCTTCTTCAATGTCCCGTATCCATCTTTGTTGTGATTGACCCCTGCCTCACCTTCCAAAAACTGCACCCTCCATCACTATCTTTTCCAAGCCAATATGATGTGGCCAAAATACTTTAACTTTTGGGACAGGATGCTGTTTATGAGCCAGTTCTCCCTGATGTTCAACTCATTGAGACTAGCTGTTTTTTCCTCTTCTTGACCCATTCTATTCTAAGAATTTTTCCACAACATTTAAATTCAAAAGCTCCAATATTTTTCCTCAGTGAATGAGGGAGGGTCCAGGACTCACAACCATAAGTTGCCACAGGAAGAATGCATGATCTCAAGATTTTTACTTTAACCAATTTACCAGTGCTTTGCCATAGGTTCTTCATGCTGTTTAATCTCTGCATTGCTAATGCAAGTCTTCTTCTGACTTCTTTTGAGCAGTCGCCACTGTTGTTCACTAAAGAACCCAAGTATTTGAAAACTGTTACATTTTCGATTGTGATATGTGGTTGGTCTGCTATATGTACTGAGGACATAATTTTTGTTTATGTGCTGTGCTTTTTCATGGCCAGAATTAATTTGTCTAAACAAAAGACAGTGAAGTTCATACTGGGTACAACACTGCAGACATAGATAATCTATGTCAAGCGAACGAAAGAACAAGAAGAAGAATTTGTCTAAACCTTGTACACTGTTAGGACGCTGTAATACTACAGCAATTTTTAGTGTACTTCGCACTGAGGAATTTATCAGTTTTGCAAAATTATATTTACTTGTGGTCAATGTCCCCCTCCCCATTCCCATTAGTATATCTAACGCAAATAAGGTTAATAATAATGGTGTGAATTTATAATGGCAGAGCTTTTGAATTTACACTGTCTCACAGGCTGGTATTTTGTGGAAATGGCGTTTCAAGAACGAGCTGAGTTTCTATATTGGCAAGTTTAATGAATACTGAAAGTAGGCATACTTTCCCTATATGCTATCATCCTATATGTTATTGTTTACTTGATTTTTTTTTCATTTATTTTTAGTGTGTGATTTTTTTTTCTCACTGTTATTTTCTACCTCACTGCCTCTTTTCATTATCGTTCCGTCTCTGTCTTTCCAGTTGTTGCCATCCCCACTGTATTTCCTCTCCTGTGATATTCCATGGCTCTTCTGTCTTATGAATTCAACTTGCTCAGATCCAATATTTTGTTAAGCTTTCTGTGTGTGATTTTCTATTTACCAGGGTAAATCCTCTGTGCATTGACCCGTCAGGATGCATACCAGTGTCAGAATGTTATGTTCTTGGTTGGACAAACAAATGGATACTACTGCAGATTTTTTTTTTTTTTTGGATTACACAACTTCTGTAGTTTTCTGGTGAATTCTTTCTTTCCAGATGAAGCTGTGGCAAATATGTAACTACATCAAAAGTCCACGGTATGTCATCATCCATGCTATCTCTGTTACTAGCATATGCCTAGGCTTTTGTTGTTTTCACTTCTACACAACCAGAGAGAAGCAGTGATGAGTATCTGAAAATAACAATGTATAACAATGATCCTTGTTGTACTCTTCCATATGTCAGATGGATATTTCCATAGTGGCTTTATAGATGTAACAGCAGCATGAGAAAAGCTGTGGAGACTACGTAATTACATTGAAATCCCACTGTATTTCGATCAACTATACTGTATCTGTCTGTCACTATCTGTCTGTCTATCTAGATATCTATCTATTTATTGATCTATCTATTGTACCTGTGTCTCAATTCCTTTTTTTTTTAAATGTAAGAACACCAGTGCTTTTTATTGCTACACCTCATGTATGCTGCCACTGTGGCATCATGACTAGTCAGCACTATAAGACCTTTTGTGTTATGGAGACATCCACATTCATACCCTTTCTAAGTCAGGTTTGCTTACACATTGCCACCTAGTATCTTTTTCTTCTGCCTTCTATCCCCCAATGGGAAATAGGTTCTTAGCTATCACATGCCAGGTGGTTATATTCTTTGCTATTACCTGCAGCTCTTCTTGTATCTTTTCTTCTGCCATCAATCCTCCAATGGGGAATAGGTCCTCAATAAATGCACGCCAGGTCATCTTACTCTTTGCTATCACCTGCAGCTCTCACCATGCACTCCCCATCTTTTTAACTCCAGTCTCTAGCTCCCCCATCCGGAAAGCAATGGCAAACTACTGGACATAAATGTGCCTAAAAAAACAGCCAGGGGCTGTTGGGTTGGTTCTGCAACGTCCTGTAAAGGATACGCAACTAACCTCCAGCTTCCTTCTTGATGTGTTTTTTGGGTCTTCTTGTATTTCTATTTTCTATGCCCCTGTGGGTTCCAACGCACAACTTTGTCAGATAACCATAAATGTATACGGTTTTTGCTGAGAAATAGTCAGCTGGCAGCCATTTTAATTTGTTAATTATGTAAAGTCAGCTGACATTGGCATATTTTTATGATCCATGTGTTCAACTTGTCAGAACTCACAATATGTTATGCATCTTGCCAGGCTCATTGTCAGATAACCATAAATGTATAAGGTTTATGCTGAAACATATTTAGTTGGCAGCCAATTTAATATGTTAGTTCTGTCATGTCAGCTGACCCCGGCACATTTTTATGATCCTTATGTTCGTCTTATCAGAATGATATTTGCTGAATGATATTTATAACAGTGGATACGTACCTGATGACCTTTTGAATTCTCTTTTCATACTTTCACCGAAAACACCTGGTGCAATGGAATGTGGAAAACATTGAACAGTTAGTTTAATGAGTCAAGTAACTAAAATATTAATGAGAATTATCATGAGAAGAATAAGGTGTAAAATTAAACCAGAAATTGGAGAAAAGCAGTGTGGTTTTGTTGAAGGTAAAGGCACAAAAAAACGACGTATTTATCTTGAGAATACTGTCAGAAAGAATGATTGACATGAATATAGATTTGTTTTTTGTAGATTTACTGATTACACTAAAGAATTTGAAAAAGTGAAACAAAGAAATTAGTAGAAAGTTGAAAACCTTAAACACTGATGATAAAGATCTGGATATCATTGTAACCGAAAGTGAAAACAAGAGTCTTAGTTTTAACAGCAGAAAATCTGAAGTAAAGGTAATTATTTTCAAAAAACGGACCCTCCAAAATGCAACATCAAATTAAATGAGACAAACCTCAAGCAAGTCCATATGTTCAAGTACTTGGGTACCCCGATAACATCAAATGGAAGATGAAAAGAGTTTTAAGAAAGTTACTTGTCGAATAGCTCAAGCAAAGGCAGCATTTTACAAAATAAAGAATATTTTATGAAATCTTTCTTTGTCAATTGAGATGAGAAAAAGAATTCTTAAAAGCTATATAAATCATATATTGAAAAACGGAAGTAAATCATGGACAGAAAATCATAGTGAAAAACCTTTTTAGAAGCTGCAGGGATGTGGTTTTATAGATAAAGGATGAGAATACCCTGGACAGAATTTTTTTTAAAAAGAGTAATGAAGATGTCTTGAAAAAAAAACCGGAATCACAAAGAGAACTGATTGCCCATATTAGACTTCACCAAGAAGCATTAGGTCACGTTAGCTGACATAGGCAAATTTTTATTATCCCAATGTTTGCCTTGTCAGAACGCACAATATGATATGCATCTTGCCAGGCTCATTGGCAGATAACCATAAATGTATAAGGTTTTTGTTTAAAAAAATATTCAGCTGGTGGCCATTTTTATATGTTAATTAGGTCACTTTACATCAGAAGGAAATTAGAAGAAAAAACAAACACAACCAAGACGAATACAAAAGAATGCATAGAGAGAGATTGTACGTAAATGAAATGCAGCGAAAGAAGTATGGCTAAATAATAAGTGCAAGGAAATTAACTAAGACAGACCACACAAGACGTGTATAAAAATATACAAGAAATATCAGGTTTTAGAAAATATACAGCAAGTAGTTGTTTTAAAACAAAAGAAGGTGAAATATTAATGGACAGTGAGAAGGT